TGACGTGTGTGGTTGTGCTGCTGCCGTGGTCCTGCCAGATGCCTCCTGCTGCTACTGCCATCATTAGTCATTAGTCATACTTCTACTGTTATTATACACATATGACTATTGTCACACATGTATACTGCCAGATATTAATACATACTTTCAACATATTGTACCACAGTAGCCAGAACTATAACTATAATATTATTACTTTCAATAATGTTGTTGTAACCTACTGTCATTACCTGCATCTCTCTCTCTGTCTCTGTCTCTCTCTCTGTCTCATTGTGTCATGCGGATTACTGTTAATTTATTACGCTGATCTGTTCGGTACGAAATCTATTGCACGTCTGTCCGTCCTGGAAGAGGGATCCCTCCTCAGTTGCTCTTCCTGAGGTTTCTACCGTTTTTTTTCCCCGTTAAAGGGGTTTTTTTGGGGGAGTTTTTCCTTATCCGCTGCGAGGGTCATAAGGACAGAGGGATATTGTATGCTGTAAAGCCCTGTGAGGCAAATTGTGATTTGTGATATTGGGCTTTATAAATAAAATTGATTGATTGAATTGATTGAACGCACTGACAAACAGACATTTTCTTTGCTCATTACTGTGCACAAGGAACTTGGGCCTCAATGGGCATGCCAAAAAAATGTGGAAGGGATTCCCTCTTTTTTCCACTTGAGCACCTGCTGTGAAGATATCTGTGAAGCTATCACATAGGCAACTGTTAGGTAAAGAGGTTTAAAGGCTAAGACTAAATCCATACAGGAAAGCCCCCAAAAGGTCTCCATAAGCTTGGTGACTACAGAGCTGTGTTGACACTAACTCACAGAGCATGCTTGTGTATGATTTAGTATTATGAGAAATACTGGAGCCAAACTAATGTCGAGATAAGCCCAATAAAACACCACAGCATTCTTTGGGCAACAAAATAGGTCCCAGAGCAGGCTTTATAAAGTCAAAAATACTAAAACATACAGACTCACTGGTATGGTCTTGTGTTTATTTTGAACTCTACAGGGGTGTTGAGGACCAAATTTACAATATAACCACAGCTGACAAAAAGGAAAAAATAGAAAGAAAACCTGAATCTACCAACTGATGGAAGACATAAAAGGTTATTGTCAACAACAACAAATTAATTTCACTTACTTTCCATATTCACACTGATCTAATTCACACACTCCTGTTAATCATCCTCTCCTTCATTTATGGTCCCTATTACTGCATTTATTCTTATCTTTCACATTCAGATGACCTGTCAAAACAATAGATTGGATAAAAGACATACCATAGTATACGTTTTAAACCAGGCACACACAGAATTACAGCAAAGACAATAGCAAAATTACTGTAAATGCATGGACTGAATTGTCTGTATTGACTTCATATCAACATGCTAAACTATCACTGTCATTGGGCTCACCTTATGGCCCACCCTAAGGAGATTTTGAATAACAATTGGTCTTTAGTATTCAAAAACAGAACATTTTGAACTCATGTTTGGAGACATACACATTGAAAAAAATGTTGACTTAAAGTATATGAAACAAAACCCCAAAAATATTTTCAATACTTTTCAAATGTTGAAGATTTGGCCAAATGATATTGATCAAAGGATTGTGTGTCATTTGGTCCAGAGTCACTGAAGATAGGACAAACCATCACACTGTTGTTTTTGTAAAATGTTGACATTTTTTTTTGTGTTGCAATGGCCATGAAACTGTATAAAAATGGCACAATGACCATTGGGTGTTTCCTTTTTGAAAAAACATCTTCATCCTCTTCGTCTTCATCGTAAGAGGATTAGCCTGCTAGTGTATGTGATCTATTAAGCTTTAAAGGAGCAGTGTGTAGGATTTAGGGGGATAAATCGGAGAAATGGAATATAATATTCATACTTCTGTTTTCATTAGTGTATAATCACCTGAAACTTAGCATTATTGTGCTAAGCTTGAGCCCTTTATATCCTCCTAGGGAGTGGGTCCTCTTTCATCCACCATTTTGCACCACCGTGTTTCTACAGAAGCCCAGAACAGACAAAGGAAACACTGGCCTATTGCCTTTTAAGTTACCTGAAGTCCATCATAACTTGGAAATGGAGGGATGAGAGGCTTCTCTTCAAAAACAGAGACCACAGAGAAATTGATTTGATGAAAGATCCTGGCTGCATCCCCAAGTTGTTGTCCCACATCCAAAAAACAATCACTGATCTTATCCTGAATCTTGGACCCCCAGAACAAAACAAACAAACCTACAAACAAACATGATGATGCCCCCAAAAATCCCCAAACAGGTATGGACAATGTATCAACATTTTTTTTATGCTTCTGCGTGTAAACAACAGCAACAACACTGCAGGCAGATTATTAATGTCCCTTAGTGTCCAATCATTTATCATAAAAACACACACTGTACATTATAAAGTCAGGGTTTCTTCTCCTGCTGGTCAATGAACCAATCACAAGGCCCAATGTCCAGTCTGAGCTGATCCATCACCCATGGGTCCTTTTCAGCCCCTTCAATAAATTCTTCCAAAGAAATCTGACCTAGACAATTCACAAGAGAAACAGATTGACACAATCAGAATCTTTATTTGAAAGTGAATCTATGTTTATCAAAGCACAATTATAACAGCACAAGAGTAGAAGAAAAAGATTACCAGAAAGAAGGATTTGTGTTGAAATTATATTTATGTGAGCACATTGTATTATAATCAACTTGGAACTTACTGTCTTTATTCTTGTCCACCAGATCAAATATTCTGTCACAAATATCTTCAATATTCCCTGTGATGCTCGGATCCTTGTGCCTCTTTATCTTGTTGATGATCTGAGCAGATCGAAAAAAGAAAAAAAATCACTTCAGATGTTGTAGAGAACAAATATCATTCCAACATTTCTGCCGTTGTTGCACACTTTATACATTTTAGACATTGAACAGAATTACATCCCTTGTTAATCCACTTGTTTGTATTTGTATTGTGTATTTTTTAAAATCAAGTTTTAAACTTAATGGGCTCTAGACCATTCGTAGACCGGGCGTGGCGGAGGCGCAGCGCACCTGTGCTTCGCCATCTGGGTGTGGCCAGGCGGATTTTGCAAGTTTGGCATACCGTGCGCCCTGGCGCAGCTACTCCTCTATCGCACCTCCGTCCCTCCTACCGGTGCAAGTCAGAAAGAGGGAGGAGAGAAGGCGTGGAGTGGGTTTTACACAGCCCATTCACATCACACCAATCAAACGAGCCCCTCTCCTCACCCTTAAATGCGCCGCGCGAAGGCGTAATGAGAGTTTACTCAATTTGCCATGGCAGAAGAGAGCAGCAGCATCAGACGGCCAAACTTCTCCCAGGAGGAAACTGATGTTTTGGTCCGGGAGGTCCAAGCTCGCAATGTCCGAATATACGGAACTGCGAGCAGACCTCCATGGGCTGATGATGCAAAGGCAGCCTGGGAGGAGGTCACCACAATTGTAAATCAATTTTGTGTTTCTCTCGTGCGCGCACGCTCTCTCTTTCTTTCTCGCAGTCTCACTCTGTTTCTTTTCTTTTGACTTTTCTAAGATGATAGATGCTGAATATATACTCCCTATCTGATGCTGTGGCTGTTTGTGGTTGGCTGAGAGGGATGTGAACTCATTAGTTTCCAGCTGTGTTAATCAAATCAGGTTGGGTTTCCATTATGCGTGCCAAACGTGCCAAACGGTGCCAGTCCCCTTTGATCTGACATCAGATAAGACGGGACAGTCGATATAAAGATACATTTATGTGCTGATTGCAGATAGTTGCATTGAATAGTGGTTTTTGGGTATTTATTGCATCGTTAATGTGCCTGATATTCTGGAAACCTGCCTGTGAGGTTTTGGTGACGTGTGCGCACTGTCCACCGGTCAGCCAAACTTCGGCTTACACCGGCTGCGCTCCCCCTGCGCTGACAGTAGACCTGGTTTCAGTTGGCGAGCTTTTAGCACACCTTCGGCGAAGCTTGTTGGCATGAAACTGTCACTGCGCCAAGCTGGATCTGTCGACACCTCCCCCTGCTGCGCCGCCACACCCATCTCAGCGCACCTCAGTCTGCCAAACTACTAAACTGAGCGCGCCTCAGGTTGCGCTGCTTGAAACTAGCTCTGCGCGGGGTTCGTCACCCTGCACCACCTGCGCTGCGCTGGGAAACTAGAGCCCAATGTCTTATTCAATCTATATGGTGTTAAAGGGATAGTGGGGTTGTATGGGGTATTTATCCATAGTTGGTATATTACATACAGTAGATGTCAGTCAGTATGCCCGCAGTTTGGAGAAGCAGGCTCGAGTCTATCAAGAAAGCTAAGCAATGCACTGCTTAGGATAGGGGTCCTCCAGAAAAATGTATTTTAGCCATCTAAAAAAGTCCCCTAAAAAATTTAAGTATCAGTTTAAGTGTATGCCATATTGAGAATATTACTTACCCATAATGTCAGACAGCCCACTCTAATGGGGAATCTGTTAACGGTTTCAGTTCCCCATCTATGCTCTCTTCAGAGCCACCAGACTCCATTGACAAAAGCAGTAGTTTTAGCTTGTTGATCACGGAGGTGCTGGTCAGTCAGTTAGTTTGTGTTATTGTGCGAGTTTGGTGTTCACCAAAGTTACACAATAACACAAACAAAAAAACTGATTGAGGTAGCAGTACGCCAGCAGCTCCATTCAGCAGTATTAAATCATTGTCTTTGTCAATGGAGTCTGGTTTTGTTGAGAAGCAATATAATGGCTTTGTTTTTCTGTTGGAAATCACTGTCTGGTATTAAGGTAAAGCTGTAACAGGTGTGACTGAACCCAAATTCAGCGCTCAGAGACAGGCAGTTGGTAATGCTGCAGTGACACAGGAACAGGAACTTGAGAGTGCTGCAGCTCAGCAGGAACAGGGCCTTTAGAGCGCTGCAGCTCAGAACCGGCGGGTGTCGGGCGGGTCGCGACTGGACTCTGGGTGCGAGTGTCGGACAGGTCGCCGACTGGACTCTGAGTGCGAGTGTCGGACGGGTCGCCAACTGGACTCTGGGTGCAAGTGTAACCCGCATTTAGTTATTCATTTTATTTATTTATTTATTTTGCGGGCCCACTTCCCGTGACCCCAAACTTCCTTTGAATCACGGGTCACGGAGTTCACTTCCTCCTCCGTCTCCACTGTGACTGGGCATGTTACTGTCAGCGTCTCAAACATTTGACTGGAGCTCTTTGAATCGATCATTTGAAACCGTCAGCCACTGAGTCGTTATTGAACTCAACCCGTTCAATACTCCATCTGGAAAACTCCGCGGATTTCCTGTCGGACCGCGCATGGAAGCTCAGCTCTGACCACTCGGTTCGAAGGTCAGGTTTTTTTTTGACCAACTTTGGATTTCCTTCTCATGGACCTTGATCCATTCATCTCAACTCACATGGCGAGCTAGATCAGCGAACCGGTAGGACAAAGTCTCACACCTACCGATCTGGACAAAACTTTTTGGATTAAAAGGATATGAACTGAACGTTTTCCCTTGAGAACTTTATTGTGAACAACAGAACATTTGATTTATTGTGGGTAATCCATTTTTCTTTTTGAATATTGGAATGGTGTATTGTTTGTTTTTTTTAAATATTCTCTGAATACAGACACTCAAACTGCACTACTGTCTCATCCATTCATTCGCAATCCAGGCTCCTCTAAAGAACAGACTTCTGTTGCCGCTATTGTAGCCGTAGTCAGCCGCCTAGCCCATATGTGTTACACAAGTGTCGGGCGGGTCGCTGACTGGATTCTGGGGGCAGGAACTCTCGGTGCAGGAGTCAGCTGCACCGCCAACTGGGCTCTCCGTACAGGAGTTGGCAAGGCTGCTGAGTGGCCTCTGGGTGCAGGAGTTGGCCGGACCGCCGAGTGGGCTCGAGGAGCAGGTGTCGGCCTGACCGCCGAGTGGGCTCAAGGAGCAGGTGTCAGCCAGCCTGCCAAAGCAGAAACAGGATTTGCGTCTGCCGGGACCCCCGACACCGGAACAGGAGTGACGTCAGCCAGGACCCCCGACGCCAGAACAGTAGTGACATCTGCCAGGATCCCCGACACCGGAACAGGAGTGGCGTCAGCCAGGACAACAGATTGAGGGACTGGCTGGATGCTGGGTAACTAGGACTGAGGCTTGGCCTGGTTGCTGGCAGGACAGGCTCGGGATTTCTTCCCACGTCTGGTTATCTGGTTGAGGCTCTGAGGACCTCCCAGGGACACCAGGGACAGGCAGGTTTCTAAGAACAGGCTGACAGCTGGGGTCCACTCAGGATGTGGGGGCTGCAGGCTAACAACCCCAAGCCTAACTGGCTTAAGAGCAGGCTAAGAATTAGAAGTGCTCACAAAGTCCTCAATCCAACTCAGTAGCGTATTCCTTAGCCAAGGCCTCAAGGAAACCTCCTGGTGTGCTGATGACAAGGCTGCCTCTCTGTCACCATACACATGTCATATCTCCAATCATTTTTGAACCGGCTTCGTGAGACCGAAAACCCAGGGTTAACCCTGAAGTTACCTCGCCAAGACATTAATCCTGCTTCGTGATACAGGCCCCAGGTGAGAGAGAGAAGCAGACTGTGACAAAAGCACTGAAAATACTCTCAATATAGTGTACACTTAAACTGATATAGAATTTTTTAGGTGGGACGTTTTTTAGATGGCTAAAATACATTTTGTTGCTGCCCCCATCCACAGCAGTAGATTGCTTAGCCTGACTATTGACAAGTACCTCATACAACCCCATTTTAAACAAACAAACAAACAAACAAAAACAACTATCCCTTTAAAGGTCCGGAAAACTTTTTTTTGTTTGTTTATTTTTGTTTTTGTCAACTAGCTTCTTACTGTGAGCAGTAGTGCTTTACTTGGATACAGATTTTTATTTTATTTTATTCTATTTTATTTTTGCCAAAGTTTAAATAATTTTGGTTATATACCATGAGAGTTTTCCATATGTGCATTTTTGTCTATGCTCTTCTTATTGTTTTGAAGTGGGCGGGATTCAGTTAGAAAAATGGGATGGTGCACACCTCCATGCACCAGTCAGCATTTAGTAATATTTATAGTGGTGGTTTGAGGGGTTGTTTGCTTATGTTGCCAGACTACAGTCAATAAAACCACATCCACACAGTACGGATGAAGCAGATAAGCTGAGATATGTAAATGTTGAACTGTTAATAAATAATATCTAAGGATGTTTTCTTTATAACTGAAACTTTGATTTGATTGTTGTTTATCTGAATTTATCTATATTACGTTTACTTTGGGTTTTAAACCAAGTTTTCAGGGTGTTAAGAACTAGTTAGATTTAGTTAGGCCTACAGCTACTGCTAAGAGAATGTTAAAGGGGAACTACGCCCACTCAAAATTCATATACGTTATTCCTTTGGCCTAAAGGCCAAAACACACCAGTGGCCAATGCTGCACGTCCAAAAATACGCTCCTATTATTTACAGTACAACCCCACACCTGGAGCAGCAAGACATGCTTCCACACTCCGCAGCACTTTATGCCACTGTCCTATTTCCAGCCTCACCGTTCCCAGGATTAAATGCATTTTCCCCCTGCTCATTCTTTGCTTGCACATACCAGCTCCTGACTCCTCTCTGCATCATGAATGCATAATGAGAACTCTGTAACCGTTGCTGTGTCTCGTGTTTGACAAAGAATGGATAAGGAGAGACTCGTTGTTGAGGTTGAGAAATATCTCGAAATATCTTGAGAAATATCTCGAGGTTGATGACCCACAATGCCACCATTATAAAGACAATGACAAAAAAGATATTGCTTGGCGAGTCATGGCGCTTCAGATGAGAAATCAACTTTAATTAAGTGCTCTCCACACTTGATTTTAAGCTAATGCAGAGGTGGAAGAGGTACAGATCTGTAAGTAAAAGTAGTAATAACTTTGTGTGGTCGTCTGATAACAAGCTGCAGTGCGACGTGTCCAGTGTGTCCTAGGAGCCACACTTGATGCGAGACACATGGTGGCGCCAGTGTGTAAATATTAGCAAAAAAACAAAACAAAAACACTTTCCAAATCCAAAAGCTAGGGAACTAAAACTCGAATTTGTGATGTCATAGGGGAGAAAGTCTGGAGCTGCTCCATAGACAGTAAATGGGGAGGCTGTGGCTCATAGAGTGGGTGATCCACCAGGGGTTTGATCCCCTGCTCCTCCAGTCCGCATGTTCAGTATCCTTGGGCAGGATACTGAACCCCAAATGGCTGTCACATCAGTAGGCCCGTTTCCACTGAAGAAGTTCCTGGTACTATTTGGGGGGCAGGAACTACTACAGGAACGTCCTCTCGTTCGGCCTTCTCAACCGCCGTGTCTCCACTGAGTGGAGTACGAGGAAGGTTCCTGTAAAGTTACGGGCTCTGGATGTGATGTAATCATTGCGCGACCATTTTGACTGGGGCGACGTAGGGACGCCGTTAGCCAATAACGGTGTCTGTAATAACTCACTAAATGGCCAGTGAAAAAAATATTTTTTCCAGCGGATGTCTTAGTTACAACATGATTGAGATAACTGGAGTAGTTTCATGTCGTATCTGACAACGGGAGGCTTTTAACAGATGACATCCTGATGTTAGCTTTGCTGCTGATGTTAGCTGTCCCTGTCAGCTGATGCTTTCTAGACATCGTGATTTCCCAAAACTGAATAAATACCACACATATCAACACAAAACTGCTTTGCTAGCTCAATCATGTTGTAACTAAGATATCCGCTGAAAAGAATATTTTTTTCACGGGCCACTTAGTGAGTTTTTTTTACATGGCGGCGAAAGCTATATGAACGAGCTAACCCTCGTCTGCTGAGTTTTAAAAATGCTGGCTATTTTGTTGCTTTCTGTTGACGTCACATCCCTCCTTGAGTAGGAGCCCCAGCCAGGAGTCTTTCGGGGCCGTTCTGAGTACCTACCCCGAGGCAGGGACTTGTTTAGCCCCCGTAAAAATTCCGGAACTCTGTCCTTCGGGGGTGGTTCCTGCGGTGGAGACACGCACCAATGGCCCCAGCCCCGTAAAATTACCCCGAAGTTCCTGCGGTGGAAACGGGCCTAGTATGTGAGAGCGTGTGAATGGTTACTGAGTAGCAGGTGGCACCCTGTATGGCAGCCTCAGCCACCAGTGTGTGATTGTGTGTGTGAATGGGTGAATATGAGAAGTATAAAAGCACTTTGAGTGGTCAAGAAGACTAGAAACGTGCTGTACAAGTGCAGTCCATTTACCATACAGTCCATTTAAATGGTGAAAGATGTTATTGAGAGCACCTGAGTGTATGGGGACATTTCTGTTTTGGACCTGAGAACTCAACAGTAGAATAAAGCTTATTTGGGTATAAAAAAGAAAACAAACATTCTGTGGATCCACAAAATCAGTCTTGCATTCATTATACCTTTTACATAGAACTTGTGCTATAGAGCTGCAACAAAGTCCCTTCTTTGAGCAGCCTTTGCACTTTTACACAGAACCAAAAGGCCACAGCATCACGCAGCTCCAGTGTGTGATAAGCAGCACTTTATGAACAATAACAATGGCATGACATGGCAACAGCAATCATTTCTCTGCTATATGGCTGCTGATCTCGCCCTCCACTCCGAGGGTAATGAGCTCCCAGACCTCATTGTTTTCCAAATTTGAGGACAGTTTCAGCTAATGTTCTTTTGTAAGTTAGCCACTAACTGCTCAAGCTGCTTTGTGAATCTTCTGCAGTATGTTGCATGCATAACAGGTCATGCATAACATGTCGTCAAAACATCCTGCTGACTGCCCTGCCTACCCTGTTTTTATACAGAGGTTGTTTACTACTTCTGCTCCCTGGCTCAGAGGTGAGACAACTCTGTCCCCCCATTCTGCAATATTAGCCTTTCTACAGAACTGCCAGGTGGAATAATATTTCCACCTTGAATAGGCAGTGTAAAAGGTGCTCTTGTCTATGGAGCAGCTCCAGATTTGATACTTTATAGTTTGAGACTTACTTCTCTGGTTTCTGGCTTTGAAAGAGAGTAGCTCATGTTCACATATATTTATTAAACTTTGCTTGGCCATGGAAATAACATATTGGTATACTGATTTTGGATGGTGTTTTTCCTTTAAACTTGTGACTTTGGCAATTGTTACTTACTTGTTGTTGGGAACAGCAGTCCTCCCTCTGATTTGATTGACACTTTATCTATTTCCATGTGGAAAGACAATTAACTTAGAAAGCTACTGGTTACCGATTATACTACTCTTTGAGTACTAACTTACTTTTGTAAAATTCTGATATTCACCTTTTGGAATAGAATAACAAGTGAGAGGAATCTCTGTAAAGTCAGAAGATTTCTGAATATCAAAGCAAAAGAATCCAACTCTAATTGTTATTCAAACCCTGGTTGTAGCTTTGAAAATAATTCTTATTATAACAGTCTATTGCTGCATTGCAACAGTGTTTATAACACTTATCTCAATACACTTATGATACACTTTGTGGTGACTCAGCAAAATATTTTTAGACTGAGACTGATGACATGCCATTTGAATTGAGCAAGATTGTATTCAAAGCTCTTCAAGTACAGCAGAGTGATATACATTGTACACACACATTAGAGAGTATTTGTAGCTACATATTCTAGTTTTAAATTTTTTAACAATATCTCATCTGTCTAAAAACAGTGTCCCGTTGGTGCATATAGTATTCTACAAATTTGTGACCAATTTGATCTGACAAAATATTCTGAAGTAAGTGATGCAAACACAATTTTTAATCATAAATAAAATTAGTGAATACTTACTCTGACAATGTGTCTCACTTCCTGTCTGTCCAGGCAGCCATTTCCATCTCTGTCATAAACTTTAAAAGACCATTTCAATTTGTCCACCAGTTTTCCACGAAGAACAAGATGCAGTGCTGCCACATACTCCAGGAAGTCTATTTTACCATCCTAAGAGGCAAACAGGATGATGGATAGGTCAGTCAGTCATACTGCCTTCCAGCAAAGACTAATGCAATATTAAGGCAAACACTGACAAATACTGAAGTTCGTCATCAGCATTGTTTTATCTAACAATATATTCCCTAAAATAATGTTCACTTATTTCTAGATTCAAATCTATTCTATATCTCTCACACAAGACATTGTTACATTACCTTATTTGTATCAAAAGATCTAAACAAATTTTCCATATATGCAGATTCTTCTTCTGTGGAGTTGCTGTCAATACCAAAGATTCTCTTGAATTCATGCAAGTGCAGATTTCCACTTGGACATTCACTTGCAAATTTACGGTAAAGTTCCTGGATGTGTTGAAGAGTCACTTCCTTATCATCTGCTCCACTTTGTGCTTGACCCATGGTTTTAATTACAAAGAAGCCAAAAAAGTTGCTAAAATTATTTTAAAAAAAAAAACATAGAAGTTGTCAAGCACATTCATCACTGTGCACCAGCCGTGGATCCCTGGCCTGTGCCCCCAGCAGAGGACCCGCTGTAGGCTATTTCAAGTTAACCTGCTGGACAAATCCTATTGACTCTCAGTGATCTTCTCCAAATCCCTCTGGAGAATGTTTTTCCTTAATATTTGTACTTCCTAAAATCTGATAAAGCTGCTCCATATTACTCTGAGGAAAATAACTGATTCAGTCACTACTGAGCCCTAACAAATTTGATTGTAAACAACAGCCCCCTTGGCTCTTTGACAGCAGACGGAAAGAGTGGATTGCCCTCTGAGGACAAAAAGCCTCCGCGGAGCTCTCAGGGAGATTAAAAGATGTATGACGTCAAAGCCTGAGTGTGGTCTTTGTAAAACAGTTTATCCATTGAGGTCTGTCTAAGCACTGTTCACCCAGCCTGCCCTGACTGATACATGTACTGGTGCTGTTATCAAAAACACACCAAAGCCCCACTGTGCACCTGTTTTGAGGACATAACAGTAAATCTGAATGATATCATAATAACTGAAGATTTTGGGTTTTAAATCTGCATTTTGTGTTTCTCAAATTGTCTAAGTTGTAACAGAAAACACTAATAACATTAAAACAACTGAAGAAAGTGATTTAAGTTTGATTTGTGACTGAAAAAAGAAGCCGGCTCCCAAAAAAATAAAATAAATTTGAATTATCACCTTGTGGTTGTATGCCACCATGCACCAGTCAAGTTTCTCTTACAGTTTATATCCGTGTCTGTGAAAACATGGATGCTTCACATACATCTTCCCCCTAGCAGCACAGAAGATCTATACAATCATCACAGATTCAAGATGGACACCCAAGATTGGCGTCACCAATTCAGTGTCTGACCAAATGTCTCCTCTTCTGTTCCTCAGATATGAGTCAGAAAGGGTTTTTACAGAAAATTATGATGTCACAGTGAAGTTGACCTTTGACTGTTTAGATAAAAAAAATGTCAGCCCTTCATCATTACATCCTATGTGTGTAAAATTTTGTCATAATTAGCATTTGAATTCTTGAGTTATGACCAAAAACATATTTTGTGAGGTCACAATGACCCTGTTTTTTTGTTTTTGTTTTTGTTTTGTTTTGGGGGTTTTTTCTACCTTTTGACCATCAAATTCTAATCAGTTCATCCTTGAGTCTAAGTGAATGTTTGTACCAAATTTGAAAAAAACAAAAACAACCAACAACCCTAAAGTTGTCCCTAAAATATCATGTTGACAAGAATGAGACAGACACGGTCACAGTGACCTTTGACCTTTGATCAAAGTGGACATTCAACATATTAAATCCCTTAAGGCGTTCTTGAGATATTGAGTTTATGAGAATGGCACCTACGTATGTATGGATGGACAGACAACCTGAAAACATAATGCCTCTGGTGGCAGCAGTTGCCAGACTGCTCACTGGCCTGTCATCACAGCCTTTCAAAGTTTTAACTATTAACAGTGCCAAAATGCATAATCCCTCTAAAATGTGTTGACACATATTATGTTTGAGTCCCTGGTGCTCCATAATCGTATTTACAATCTGCACTGGCAAGAAGTATACATTTACTCAAGTATTACACCTGTGTATCATTTTGAGCTACTTGTACTTCACTTGAGCATTCTGATATCATGCTATTTTATACAGTACTACTACCACAGTACATCTCAGAGGGACATACTTTTTATGTCGCTACATTAGGTATTACAAGTTACTTTAGATTATGATTTTAGATTCACAGATATAATATTCTTAAAATATATTTGGTATAAACTGTATGGCAGGGATTAGAATTAGCACCACTTTGACCAACTACAACAGTTAAATGTTACTTTTACTGTAGATGCATCTACATCAATATAATGGCCCATTTTTTACACAAGTGCTTTTAGTTTTTAAATTCGAACTACATTTTTTTCTTCTAATACATACCGGTAAGTAACATTTAGAGCTGATAGCTCCAGTTCAACTTAATTATTCTTTGATTATGTAGTGAACAGTCACTTATACTCTTTGGATAAACATCTACAGAATGAAGCGAAATAGTTGAAATTTATTTATATGTATACATATTTATATGTATATATACATATATATATATACAGTACAGGCCAAAAGTTTGGACACACCTTCTCATTCAATGCATTTTCTTTATTTTCATGACTATTTACATTGTAGATTCTCACTGAAGGCATCAAAACTATGAATGAACACGTGGAGTTATGTACTTAACAAAAAAAGGTGAAATAACTGAAAACATGTTTTATATTCTAGTTTCTTCAAAATAGCCACCCTTTGCTCTGATTACTGCTTTGCACACTCTT